TATTATTTAACTATAAAAGCAGAACGCGTGACTCTAAATGTCACAAACTACTTCGGGAGTATAAAACATAAGCATAAGCAGGGAACACCTTGCACTACCACTCGAAATAAGGCGTAAAATTTAGGATATAGTACGAGTACATCATACTCAAATCGCACAATCACAATTGGACAAGAAACTTTTATCACTTGTAGGTTTGAGTGCCTCTGATCTGTATTGCGAGACAATCGTAAAGAATCTAACTCATAATAGGTACAGGCACTAATAAAACTATAGAGCTAAAATTGTTTTTATTAAAAGATATAGTAAAGTCTCCTAACCATTATTTGTTTTTATCTTTATTTGCAAGAATATGGTTGCACAAGTGTAATTAGTTCTATATATTATATACCTTAGTGGTGTAGTTATCGAATATATTACAACACATAAATTAATAAATATGTACCGTTCAATTGATTTGATAATTATTTATGTAACAGTGACATATTTTAAAAAAATATTTTGCTAGCACAACAGCAGATGAATCACAATTAAGTACTAGAGTACTAATTTAAAAAAATAAAACTAAAGACTCTTGGAGCTTAATAAAACAAAATAGAAACATCCAACCTTTATTGATAGACAAACAGTCGATAATTAAAATATTTATACGAAATCCTATTTCGTCAGCTACAACATTTACTTAATAATCAATTCCAATAAAGACTAATCAAAAGAAGAAAAATCTACAATATTTGCTACTATTTTCTATAAAAAATTCTTACAAAATAAGTGAATTGGAAAATCCCAATTTTAGTAGCCTATTTTGATATAAGCAAATCATTTGATATTATTATTCATATTCTCTTTAAAAAATTGAAGCATATGGTGCAAGAGGGCCATCTTACTCCGGGATTCATAATTATTTAAAAAAAATTAAACAGTGTGTTGAAATACAAGATAAACATGAATAACGGCAGGAAATAAGTTTAAATCTTCATTAAATTCTATTTACAAAATGAGTAAGGAGAAGTGCCGGGAACAAAGTCAATGGTGCCCTGACTGCGTTAGTCAAAAGGCAAGGCGTAGCGAAGAGTGCACGCCTTGCAATACATAACGCAGTGTTGGTACCGACTTTGTTATATGGCAGCGAAACCTGGGTATGCCAGAAGAAGCATAAAAGTAAGTTGAATGCAGTGGAGATGCGATCTCTTCGTAAAATGTGCGGCGTTACTATGGCCGACCGAAAGCGAAACGAAGAGATTCGCAATATGGCAGGTTTGAAAGATGACCTTATCACAAAAATTGATAAGGGCGTGCTTCGTTGGTTTGGGCACGTTGAGCGAATGAGTGAAGACCGAATGGTGAAGAAAATATAAAGCGCGAAAGTTAATATTAAAAGGTGTCGAGGTAGACCGAGACTAACTTTCGAAGACCATGTGAGCAAATTGCTCGAAGAGGGTAGGGTCAAAAGTACTCGGATACCTAGACGTGCATGCATGAAGAAGATAATGGATCTGAAAGAAGCGAAAGAGGTTTGTAAGGATCGTGACACTTGGCGATCTGTTCTCTCTGGCTACCCCGTCAGGGATTGTGCGTGAAGATAAGTATAAGTGTAAGTATAAGTATAAGTAAGGAAAACGTTTTTATTAACTGTTTAACGCTGTTTCTTCTATTGGTTAAAATTAATATTGTGAATACAAGTTTAATTTTAATAATTTATTATTGTATTTTCTAACCAAAAATTTTCACATATAAAAACTAGTGAAAAATTCGTTCATGTGATGAGATATATTATTATTACGAGCTTGGGGTTCAAGAAAATTAAAAACTGCCTAGTGAATTACCAAAATTGACACTTTTACAATTATAAATTACAGAACACTAATCACAATTACAATTACAGAACACTAATTACAACTTAAAACCACACTAATAATAAAACACAATTGTAATACTGATCACTTTAGTTCGCAGTTATTTCGCTTCGAAGTATTCGCTTGTATCGCCAATTCAATACTCACTCGGTCGTGGTCTATACCGGCCTTATATAGGGCCTCAGATAGTTTCCAGAACCTTCTACTGTAGAAACATCTAGAATGTTCGAGCATATATCGGTCCCGAAACTAGAAGGACTCTCCTAATTCTGCTACTCGACACCAGAGAGCGCTAGTGGTAACTAGTTTTGCCATGTACAAGACATTAATAGTGGTGCGCAACGTTATTATATATGAATATCTTTGTACCATATTTCCCGTGAATTTTACTGATTATTATTATTGAAATATTTAAATAGTATTTTCATCTGGTTGGGTTGTATATAATATTATAAAGTAAAATAAATAAATTAGTAATTTAATAAAAACCCTTCTTCCGACTTTCACGAGGTTCTCGTCATAAGGAATGGTAATGTCGACCAAAAAAGTCCTTTACTTCTCCCGATCCATCAGCAAATATCATGCTTATTCGCGAGAATAGCCCTGTCTGTGATGATAGCCCGGCCCCAGTAGAACCTGGCGCGCTTATTTCCGAGCACGGCTTCCGGCAAGTACTTTTCATAAGGCAGTTTCCCATTCACGAGTCCGTATTTCAGCCCGAGCTTCTGGTGTAGAATCCTGACAAATAGGTTGAGTCTACGCAAATAATCTAGATTAAGAAGGCGCGAAGCGACCGGGAATAATATGCCTGATTGGGTCACTGGGATGGCGACAAGCTCGAAGGTGTCGAAGGTGCCGTAACTATGATGTATCTCCAATAGTTGTTGGTCTTAAACAAAACGTTTTCCCCAAAGTGATCACCGAAACGTAGTAAGTGAAGGAAGGCAACTGTATCCACGAAAAACTCACGTACTCACTCACAGATTCTTGTAGAACCTCCCGTGGGGCGCCTTTTCCTTCCATAGGGTCTCCCGGTTGGAAATGTTCTGTATTGCTGGCTCTTGCTATTGCTCGTTGGCTAAGGATAGACGAGTCTCATACGAAATGATGTCTGTGTAGAATGGATCATCCGATTTCGTCAGGAAATAATTACGAATACGGATTACACGGATTACCCGATAGGATAGTGATAGCACTTAAAAAGCTACGCCCATCATGCTTCTGTGGCAAGTACAATCTCACTAATGACGAACTTGGATGAAGTACTATAGGATGTCATATTAATACGGACTTTTTATGGAATTAATATATATTATACTTGTGTTGAATGATGATGATGAATGAATTTATATAATTACATTAGTAACGTAAATAAGTGTTAAAATCCTTTATAAGAGTTATTTTTTTCTACGTTATTTATTTTATATTAGTTACATACATGCATAACAGTAAAGTAATCTACTGTTGTGGAATTATTGTTTCTCAAAATTTTAATTAACAATGTTCAAGTCAAATTTTTATTCACTGAGTCTTATGCATAGCTGTGAAAACACTCAAAGAAATATTTCTCTTGATTTTATCCATTATGTGTTTGTGTTTGTATCCTGATAAGGAGTTACATGTCACGTTTATCCAAAAACGATTCTGCCTACATGTTAGGCGCATACTGCAGAATGAAAAATTAAATTAATAAAAAAAGTCAATCCACCGCCAGCACGTAGTTTTACATTCGCATCAATCAGCATGTCATGCAGCATTGCCATAGGTTTAAATAATAATCCAGAACGAATTTTGGTCAAGGTGGCCCGCCTCATCGTTGACTAGCCATCTGCGTAGGTCATAATTATAGTGCCCAAGTGTATCGAAGGTGCATACCCTATTCATTCACACTCATAATCCGCTGGACGGTAAACCGACACGGCCGGAGAGAGATCAGGCGCTTTACGTGCTTTCCGAGGTACTGGCGTGAAACACCGCCAACTTTCTGACTCCAGGCAGCTACTCAGAATTCCTTGACAGAGAAACGCAATAACTGATTTTTTTGGCCGAACCCTAGAAGGTTCGAACCTATGACCTTATGACCAGCAGTCGCATCTAGGACCATCAGACCAACGTAGCAGTCACAATAGGTTTACCGTAGGGTGAACATAATGATATTTATTTAAACCACATTTATAATTTAGAAAATATTTTTGATATCTGCTTAGTGGAAACAGCTGCAACTCTACTTAACGTCCTGTGAAAGCACTTGGCCTTTAGCCTGCCTACTAAAAGAATTCTAATTCAAATTCATTATCTTATTTGTGAATACAGTGAGTTAGGTGTTAGTAAAGTTTACAATAATTATCGTGTATTTTTTCTTTTTATTATTTTCTTTGCTATAAGAGTTACATAGCTCCTAATTTAAAGATTTTCCAGTCTTGCTCTTGTAAATAAAAAAAGGTCTATTTTACTTATATAGCCTGACATAACTGAGATTAGCTTATTTTTGTCACTAAATCACTGCCGAATCAATAACTAGAAGATTTTGTTGCGAAATGAAAATATTATGATACTACAGTTTTCCGGTTTGTAGGGTTAGAGGGCCAGAATAATCGCAGGTTTTTGTCTGTATGTTGGTATATGTATTGTAGCGAATAACAGCTTTGCCACAGCAACTTGATTGACGCTTGATATTTTTTTGTGCTTTATTTACATTTTTTGTAGAAATTAAAGCATTAATTATAATAAGTCAGAGTAGAATAGGTAAATAAGCAATTAGTGTAGAATACCAAAATAATAATTAGAAAAAATAAAAAAACTTAATACACTAGACTAGAGATTAATTTGCTATAAAGAAATTAGAAATTAATTATTAATGTTAAATATTAAAATGAAATTTCAACTTTAGGCCCAACAAACGACATTACTAAAAATTTAATTATATTATTGTTAATCAATTTGTTCGTGGTTGACCCATGGTCGTTAATTATGTTACAAAATATTTTCAAGTTAAGATTTGTAAAATTATTCATTTGTTATTGTGCGTTGTAGAAAATAAAACCACATCTATAGTATTTTAGATTATATTATTTAAATAAACTGAACATCTCAATTATAAAAATTACTAAGCCATATCACAGGTTCAGAAACTAAGAAATTGACTTATGGCTTCGTAAATTCAGTAATGGCTTTGGTAACGGTAGCCTTGCAAGCTTCCTCAGAATAATCGTTGTCTACGAATTTGGATTTTTCGATAATCTTGGAGTCCTTCAAGTAGTTTTCAACGCTTTCCTTGGCCGCACCCTCTAGAGTCATTTTCCTGGACATGATCCAAGCGAAAACTGAAAGGAAATAGAAGGAAATTATTTTAAAATTTGTTTTTCATCCAAATATTTTTGTAACACGTAATGCAATTAGTTTTGGTTTTGTCAGTACATGAATTATAATCAAAAATCAGTCTTGTTATGAGACTGCATTATTTCGGTTTTCGTTTCTGTTACAATCACTTAGGCTGTAATATTATATATTCTTTTGAGTTTTTAAACCATCCACACACAAAAAAAAAATCATCAAGTTTTTGCGATACTAGCGGACAGCAACAGATTTTTATATATGGAGTTAATGAATATTACATACCTTGGTGCTTATTGGTGTCCTTGAAAAATTTGCAGCTGTAGAGAATGCCGTAGTTCTTGTAATCGGTGTCCAGTACATTGATGTAGGAACTCTCGGACACACCTATTATATGAGTAAAATAAAATAAGTTAACTTAATACCAAATTTCAATTAAATTAGAGCATATCGAATATTTTTGGGATAATTAAATAATTTCATTATATGAATATGACAATACTATTGTAGTAAGTTTAATTATACGTGGTCACTGACCTCTAAGGAAGAATCACGATGCAGCTATATTTCTTGTAGCACGAATGGGTCGGCTCGACCGGGATAAGACCACGCTCTCACAGAATACCAGCGTAAAATAGCAGCTTAACGCTGCTGTGTTTCGTAAAGTGAGTGCAGAGAACCGGAGACGCTGTTTACTGGAAATGAGGCATTCCATCTTATTCCTCGCGGGTGACAACGCATCTGCATTTTGATCCTTAATTGAGGATAAATGTAGATGTTTATGGGCCACAGTATCTACTTCCCTTTTTCAATAAAAAAAATTGTATACCCGTATATGTGATAGGACCAGGCTGCAACTTCGTATTATGGCGCTAGCTTGATCACCTTGACCAAGGAAGCAACCACGCTCGAATAGAATAAAACAGCAACATAACGCCACAATTTAATTAAATGTTACTCCTACAATGATAACTTACTTCGTGAATGAGCATTACTTTTATGGCTCTCACTGGGATTAATTCAATCAATATATTTACAGTTACCAACACAGGTGTAGTGGCGGTATGGTAACTGCAAGAAAGATCTCAATGCTTCTTATACATGGCGGGATAACCCTTCGTTTACGCTAGACAAAACGCGGACCTTTGATGGTGATCAATTTTAAAGTTGCAAGACTTATTTATTTATTATAATTTGCATGTCATAAGAAATATTATACTTAACTTACACAATATAATATAGTAACGCCCCGTAAGAACATTGAAATTTAAAAGAGGGTAGTTATATATGCTAAATACTAAATATAAACTACTACTAAATACCAACTGACATATTTATTAGCACAACTAGTTCTCACATATTATTTTACTTAATTATTATACACACATTTACCATTTATTCGCATCTTTAAGGAATTCACCTAAAAACACACAATCCATTGAAAACTGTCACTTACCTGTAAAGGCCCATATTCAGCAACGGAATTTTACAGACTATATTAAAAAAGCAGAAAATTCACTTATAATGACGACTTACCTCCAAAAGTATAAGTGAGCATCAATTTTCCAGGCTCAGCAAGAGTGAGGTCTCCTTCGATGTATGACTTGACACCGTCAATCACATGGGAGTTCTTCGCCTTGGTCTTGTCTCCTTCAACAGTGTACACAGCGGTGGTGCACTTGCCTTTTGTACCTTCTTGAGTAGCATGAGGGAAGCGAGAGATTTCATACCAAGTGCCTAGGTACTGGGGGAGAAATTATAAATTAATATTAATAGTGTTATTCTGCTAAATTATTTGAATATTGGATCTATTTAACTCCATCGAATAACGTAGTAGAGCCACACTGCAAATATATACAGTCCTCACGGTAGAACGCATCCACACTTTGATTAATGGTGGATAGATGTTGGTTTCTATTAGCCATAGCATCCACTTACCATCAAGTGGACCGTGTGCTCATTCATGGCCCTGGTATTCCAATAATGCAACAGCTGTCAAGAACAACTTGAAAGACCGGCGCGTGTGAATACGTTGCACTCACGATAATAAGCATAACATCATATACTCTATACCATAGACTATGTGTACTATAATAGATACACAGATCATATATTTGCAGTGGTAATTCTGCTGCTATCATCGCTCCCAGACTGGTTGGATTTAGGTCAGAGTGGTATATTATATTTCTCCCATTAGTTGTTCGCTATTGCCTCGTCTATTACCTACTCAGCAAGAATAACTCGGCAATGCTGCCTTGAACCACACAACACCAGGGCTATTTGCCATATAGTGGCAAAAACATGAAACAATTTGAAAAAAAAATCTGTTTCCCACCCACCAGTTAAGCGTAACAACTGTGGAATTTTTTTCCCCTTTTATTTGAGGCAACTTATGTAGAGGCCTATGTTCATTGGTGGATTGTTGATAAGCTCTAATGATGATGATGTTATATAAAAACAAGTAGAAATGTGTTTCAACATTTTTGAGCTCCACTAAAGCTCTGAACTCGTTTGTCATGTGTCCTTATGGTAACGACGGGACTGGTGAATAGGTAATAAAAGTCAGTGTGTGGTTTATTTACTACCTTCGGTTACATTACACTTAGATAGTCCAGCACTTGTTTAAAATTTGAGGCACCGAACACATGATGCCAGATTGACATTTTGGGGAAGAAGATTTATATTTAAAATGCATTGAAATTCATTTGATGAAATGCAATTTAAGAGCCGTAGTATAACAGAGGCTAAACGATCGCTATAAATTTCTCGAGCAACCTGGCCTGATCACCGTCGGCATCAATAAGAAATGCTAATTGCTATTGAAAATGTTAATTTATCATGTACTTGGCGGAAAAAAATATCATAAGGTAACCTGCATGCCCAAAAATAATGATTTAGGACATGTGAAGTAGGAAAGGCGTGGCAGACGAACTAAATCAAGACCCTCTTAGACATGAAAGGAGATCTGTGCCTAGCAGTGAGACGTATACAAGTGGTAAAATTAAAAATTTTGTAGGTAACATACAATAAAAAAAAAACGATTGAATTCAGTACCTCCTCCTTTTTGAAGTCGGTTATAAGGGTGTAACTTAATGTAAAGTTTATTTGATTCTTTATGAAAATAAGCATATATGCACTTACTGCTGAGAAGTCGAACTTTTCCATAGGCTTTACTTCAGGGCAGGGTCCATCGTAGATAACTTCGGCGGATGCGACTGCGAAGAAAGCTAACATCAGAAAGCGAAACATTTTAATGTCGTATAAGTGTCGTTCTTTGAAGCTAAGAGGCGGCCAATGCATGCACTGTTAACTTATCCCACCACTTATATACGAAACAATCTTGGTTCAAAGGCCAAGAGTGAAATTAAGTATCAATTGCATCAAAAAAATTATCACGGCTTCAATTTCTTGATACATACTTACTGATAACTTTTACATATTTTCTTTTTGTTTTAATTATTATTAAAGCCGTCGGTTTAAGCAAAATAATAAATAAAAGGTAAAAAGTGGGATATAGCAGCCTACGCCTATTTTATTACTGAGAGAACTTGAAAGAAAAAAAAAGAAAAAACATTAAAATGACAAATGATTTAATACGTGTTGATAGACTTCATTATAAATATTTTAAACTACTTACATAAGTAGGTTTCTTCACAATGTCTTCTTATAACGCCGAGCGGGTAGTAAATCAACTTTTAAAATTGTAGTAAACAGTTTCATAGGTGCCGGCGGAGATCGAAATCGTTTACCAAACAATAGTAAATGGTTAGTACTTGGGTCTGAAATAAGATATAAAATAAAATAATGCGTGATAACTAGTATAGGGCGCACTAGATGGAGTGATGACTTGGATCTTGCTTTGTGACATTCCTTGGGAGAGACCTATGTCCAGATGCGGACTTGTGAAAGACTGTAATGATATTTTTTTAATTTCTTTAATATTATGGATAACACCATAATAAAATAAATAATGTATACAAACCAGTTATATAGAAAAAATAATACAGGCAATTACAGTTATCCACAATTTACCTATATACATGTGAGCAGATAAGGTGAGAGCGATACAATTAAATGATAACAAACAGAATATGGTTGAGTTACAATGTTAAATAATAAATTTCTATATTTAAAAGTAAAAAGGTGGAATGAGAGGTTGAGATGTCCTAAAGGTACAGTTGTACACGTCATCGTTGGAGCCACATGCAAGTGTGAGTAACAATCCAAAAGCAAGTCTTATCATACAATATTCCCACGATGTCGTGGACGTCAGTCTAAGTGAGTTTGAAATGGCTCTCCAGCACCTTAAAAACGACAAGGCCTAGGAAGAGGATGGAATTACAACGGAGCTGCTGAGCTTGTATTCCTTCAGAAGCTCTTCAATTTCGTCCTCCATGGTTGCACTACTCTGGAATATTGCAGCTGAAATGCGGTTGTCTTTTTCTTTAACAAAAAATACAATATCCTGTTGAAGAACTACACACAGATTTCCCTTCTGAACTGTATCTACGAACTATCTTCCAGTATCATTCCAGACTCCCGAACTAGCCGGTTTTCGAAAAGGCTTTAGTATATAAAACCAGATAAACACTCTTCAGCAAATTGTACGTAAGACCGAATAATATAATTTCTTACTTTGCTTGCATTTGTGGACTACGGGAAAGCCTTTGATTTCGTCGAAATTTTGGCGTTGCTAGTCCTTTTAGCGGTGCCAAGTTAAATGTCGGTATATTGAAGTGCTGAAGTGTTTATATAGCAAGGCTACGATGGCTGTCTGAGTACACAACCAGAAGTACGAAACCTATCCAACTGCAAAAAGGTGTAGTACAGAATGATGTTTTATCCGCAAAACTCTTCACCCCTACATTTGTAGACGTTTTCAAGCAACTAGACTGAAAAGGATATGGTATTAACATCAAAGGCGAGTATGTCACTCACCTTCGATTTGCCGACGATATAGTCCTTATAGCCGAATCGCTTAAGACCTAGGCACTATGCTCAATGACCTCAATACTGTTTCGCAACGGATAGATCTTAAGATGAACATAAACAAAGCAAAGTTCATCTGTAACATCCACGTCGCACCTATGCCGGTAGTTGTTGGGAGCACTACGCTCAAACTTGTCGACGAGTATAAACATACTAGGGAGTACAAATATGCAGTATAAACTACCTAGGACAAATAGTCCGATCAGGAAAGTCGAACTTCAACCAAAAGGTCAATTGACCTATTCAACTCGACTGGGTAGCGTTTGGGACATTACGGCAAATCTTCGTGTCAGGTATGCCTCAAAACTTGAAAACAAGGTTACACAACCAGTACGTGTTGCCAGTAATCACATATGGATCTGATTCGTGATCCTTAACTGCTGACCTTATGAGGAAACGCAAAGTCACTCAGGGAGCTATGGAGAGGGCTATGCTCGGGGTTAGTATGCGTGATAAACTTAGGAATTGAGGATATCTGCGATGAAACGAGATTAACCGACATAGCCAACGGATTAGTAAGCTGAAGTGGTAATGGGCTGACCATATAGTTCGAAGAACCGACGGCCAATGGGGAAAAAGGTTTTCGAGTGGCAGCGTCGTACCAGTAGGCAAAGTGTAAGGTGAACCCCGCTAGACGGAGTGACGACTTGGTAAGATATGCAGGATGTCAATTGATGCAGGTGGTGCTTTGTGGCATTCTTTGGGGGAAGTCTATGTTTAGCAGTGGACTTGTAATGTAATAATGTATGATAAATGATTATGTAGAATGAAATAAAAAATTAATAATGATGATTCCAATTCTCATGATCTCTACAATTGTATTGCACTGGTATATCATGCCCTATTTTTCATTGTAAATAACAAATAATACCTTTGGCTAAAATATCTTAGCCAACTTTAAAAACGGAAGAGGTTTATAATTTTTGGAACGAAGTTCTTTATGCGACGGTATGCGTTTGGCGGATGGGAGCTAGGAGACAAAAAGTGTAAGATTTTTTCGTCACTACCCCTTGTCATAGTGTAGATGGCCTTGGCAGCGAAATAAGGAAGTGAGATGGAATAATATCCATCTCCCTCGCACTTTTTCTTATCTTGCCATGAAATAAATATTAATTTATTTTAAATGACGTTTCATTTTAATAGACTCTAGTAATTGATTTATTTGTATTTGTAAATCAGTAATATAATACCTACGTTTATCAATAATAATAATATACTACGCAAGGAACTTCGTTCCAACCGAGTGTTCCACGACACTCACGCATGTTTTTTTTGTACGAGTAAGATGTTACGCGATATCTTCGTCCATTGTGAATTTGATGATCCTTTTATTAAATATTGAATACTTGAGGGGTGGTCCTGTTTAAATTTGAAATAAGCGTACAGGTGAACATGCGCCTCTCTCGTTACAATCGCCATATTTGGATTATAGCGTTCGCAGTAACATATGCCTCGCACCTTTGACGATAATTCCGTCGTCAATTCGTTTTTTACGTCTGCCGTAAACGAAACTGCCATCTCTCGGAAGCCATTAGTTTTATTTTACACAGTCGCTCATTATAACACTCACTGAAATAATTCGTTCTTAATATAGCCGACTTCAAAGAACCAAAAGGAATAATGTAATTTTATAACGTGAAATTTTACAAAAGTGTAATGAGACAGTTATCCGACACGACCGGACTAACGGAATACATGCTTTTCTAGGCACGGGGATTAAACACCTGACTCCAGAGTGCTACTGAGAAATTTTTGACAGAAAATTCCAATAACTGATTTTGACCCGACCAGGAATTCGAAACCATTGTAATTAATCATTTAAAATTAAAAATTTTGTACAACCGACTTTAATATAAATTATTAAGCATTACACAAAAACTATTGGTCAGACCTTGATCAAGTTATGGGACTACATGAGAAGCACCAAATCAAATAAAAAAAAGAATCATGGAAATCGGTTCTCCTGGAAAAAAGTTATGAGGTAACACATGTAACAAGCATTGCCCATTAGAGTAGTTGTTTAGATCACTCCATTAATAGATACTAAAGAGTCTATGGTCAAGTCGTATTATGCCTGTGAGAATAATCGATTACGTTTCGACTAGATTGTTTTAAAGTGACGTCAAATATTGTCTGTGGATTAAAAGTTAGCTCTTAACAGTCGGGATCATTCAGAGACGAGCTGCCGGAGTGACAAGAAGGTTTGTGATATATTATGTTATTCTGTTGTACTTTAGCTTTGATTTAGTTTACTAGAAATAAATATTGTTATTGTATTGATTAATTCCTTTTATTTAGAATTCTATGATTCACTTTTGAGATACCCTTACATCTCAGAAGTGGGATTTACAAGACAATTTGTTTTGTGCTAAACCACCCCACAAGCTTGACCGTTGAGTATTGATACTAATTTTTATTTTATTTTTTCACTTTAACGAAAAATCAATGCAATAACAAATATATTATCAAGTTTGTAACTACTAAATGCCCTTTAACCTTTAATTAACGTGACCCACGATTCGTCCGATATAACTAGATGAGTTTAAACAATTTTTTTTTTGTTCTACCTTACTTTGTTTATTTTCTGATTAAATGCCTCACAATGTGATTAAAAATATTCATTTCCATTGGAGACATAGAGAAACTAACCATCAATAGCACCAAAATAAATTCGGCATGATCGCTAATTTTCGTGATGAAAATAGATTTAAAAAAAAATAGAGAGGATTTTGCGGTTAAAATTAACGAATTGCTTATTAAATATTTTTAATTACAATATGGTTAGAAATGTTAGTTTATAAAGGTATTGCAGTAAAATTAACCAACAAAGGTGATAGAATGGGCTGACAATGATCAGCAGATATGTGATGTAAGCAGATTAAAAAAAAATAATGTGGAAAATCCAAAAGTGCACACTTACTTACTACACTACACTACTACACTAATTACGTTTCGAATAATCAATTTACTTTTATTAATTACCAAAACGCGTAATTTGTTTAAAGCAAAAAAATCTTGTTTCCTTTTGCTTAACGTGAAATCTATTTTAATGTTGATACTGGCGATTCGTATTTCATTAAATAAATAGTCTGGAGAGAGAACGGGACGGTACAATAGTGAAATTCAATGAAGAAAAATAATGAAATAAAAAAAATGAAAATGAATACAATAGTGAAATTCAATGAAGAAAAATAATGAAATAAAAAAAATGAAAATGAATACAATAGTGAAAAATAATAAAATAAAAAAACAAAGTAGTTAGTTCAATTTTTCCGAAAGATATCTTGTACAAAAATACATAGGCTGCACTAAAAGTATCGGGAATGGAATATTTCCACTGTTCCTGTCATATTACTTGTTTTTTTAATTGAAAAGTCCTTGGTTTTAAAAATCGAATACCATTTATTTATTTAAAAAAAGATTCTCGGTCTTATCACAAGGTTTTGTCAAACTTGTTTAGTCGTTGAGAAAATGGAATTGACTCGAGAAAATTCAAGAGCGATGATTTATTATGACTTTCGAAGTGGTTTAACACAAAAACAGTGTGTTGACCGGATGATTTCTGCATTTGGTGATGAAGCCCCATCCAAAACCACAATTTATCGCTGGTTTGCTGAATTTCAACGTGGACGCGTTAAGCTCAGTGATGATCCCCGTCAAGGTCATCCAAAAACTGCAGTCATCCAAGAAAACGTTGATGCTGCGCGTAAGCTGATTGAGGAAGATCAACATGTGACATACCGCGAAATTCAGGCAACTTCAGACATTGGCATGAGTCAAATACAATTAATCTTGCATGAACAATTAGGTGTAAAAAAAGTTGTTTTCCCGATGGATACCGCATTCGCTCTGTGAAGAGCAAAAAGCGGCTCGCGTTACTTGGTGCGTCAGAACTCTCGAAAGATTCCACGCAGGATCCTCAAATGCTGTATACAACATCGTATTAGGTGACGAATCCTGGATATACGCGTACGAACCCGAAACAAAAAGCCAGTCACGAGTTTGGGTGTACGAAAATGAGTTAAAGCCAACAAAAATTGTTCGTTCACGGAGTGTTGCAAAAAAAAAAATGGTGGCCACGTTTGTCTCCAAAACCGGCCATGTTACGACTATTCCTCTTGAGGGACAAAGAACAGTTAGTGCAGAATGGTATGCTAGCATTTGCTTGCCACAGGTCGTTTCTGAACTCCGTAAAGAGAACTGCAACCGCCGCATCATCCTCCATCACGACAATGTGAGTTTTCACACCGCACACAGAACAAAAGAGTTTTTAGAGCAAGAAAACATAGAATTATTAGACCATCTGCCGTACAGCCCCGACCTGAGCCCTAATGATTTCTATACTTTCCTTAAAATAAAAAAATAAATTGCGTGGACAGAGATTTTCATCACCTGAAGAAGCTGTGGACGCCTACAAAACGGCCATTTTGGAGACCCCAACTTCCGAATGGAATAATATTCTACTGACGTCCGTGTGAAGTTATTTTCAATTAACTTTTTTTTTAATAATAATCGAAATAAATAATCTTATAACTATGTGCGTCAGAAGTATTAATAGAAATATCCTCTTGCTATTGGCATCCTTTCTTTTTAGTTATATAAGTGCAAATAAAGCTGGTGGTTTTTTTGATTTGATGGCAATAGAGCACTAAATCTCCGATTCGCGTTCGATGTGTGCAAAGCTTTAGTTAGTAGGCGATGATCCTATTACATTATAGGTCCAAAACTTAAAACGTTAAAATTGCAATTGGCAGTAATAAAATAAACTTTAAAATACCTCCCGTTATTGAATGAATATAAATTGAGATTTGTTCCTTCTAATAGTTATATACATAAAAATTATTTTGAGTTCCAGGAAAATGAGTCACAAAGGAGCTGAGGTGAATTCCCAATGCGCTCATAGTTCATGTCGCACCAATGACCGACAGCGGTTATACAGCGAGACATTCCAAAGCTGAGGTCGACATATGCGCGGGATCGAGAGGCGCAATCTTAGCCGCAGCCGCAGTGATTACGATGAGCGTCGGCTACTATTGCAGCGGCCTCGAGGACGCAGTTCAATGCCGCAGTGCAAGTAGCACGCGTACGCTACGCGAGCAGGAACGCAAGCTGTCACGAGAGAGGGAGAAGTTAAGGACGCTTGAAAAAGAGTGAGTTGAAGTGGTGTAACTCTCACACCACACGGCTATAGATATTGAGTGACGGGTATTAGAGTCGGGCAGGATTGGCGTATGAACTCGTCGCCCATGATTGACTTGAAGTACCGCAGCCGATGATGGTGTGTCGGTGAAGGAAGTAACTCTCACACCACATGGCTATAGATATTGAGTGACGGGTATTAGAGTCGGGCAGGATTGGCGTATGAACTGGTCGCCCATGATTGACTTGAAGTACCGCAGCCGATGACGGAGTGACGGTGAAGGAAGTAACCCTCACACCGCACGGCTATAATTAAGATTTAGTGAGAATTTTGCGCGTCGGGCATGATTGACTTATGAATTGACCGCCCACGAATAGATCAATTGTTATAAGTGACAGCGTTGTGAGAGTGGAGGAAGTAGCTCTCACTTTGCACAGCTGTAAAATATAGATATAACACATTGTACTATGGTTACCACTATTCATTAAAATTGTGCGACAGTTTATGTAAGTTTAGGGAATGTGAATTATTGTACAATATATTAAAAATTAAAACAGTATTATTATATCAACTTATAAGCTAAGAAGAAACGAAGGGACTCGTTTTTGAAGGATGGCCGACTGTAACAAGCATTGCCCATTAGAGTAGTTGTTTAGATCACTCCATTAATAGATACTAAAGAGTCTATGGTCAAGTCGTATTATGCCTGTGAGAATAATCGATTACGTTTCGACTAGATTGTTTTAAAGTGACGTCAAATATTGTCTGTGGATTAAAAGTTAGCTCTTAACAGTCGGGATCATTCAGAGACGAGCTGCCGGAGTGACAAGAAGGTTTGTGATATATTATGTTATTCTGTTGTACTTTAGCTTTGATTTAGTTTACTAGAAATAAATATTGTTATTGTATTGATTAATTCCTTTTATTTAGAATTCTATGATTCACTTTTGAGATACCCTTACACACACATAAAAAACATACAGTCGAAGTCAGTAGAGAACACTGTTATTTTAAGGCGTAGGGCAGAAGCATTATAGTCCTGTTTCACAAGAAACGTAACAAGACTATGCGAAAATCATCGACCCATCTCGCTTCCGAGCCACATCTAAAAGTTTTTTAATAAATTATTTTCGAGAGTCATTACAAATCGACTTGGGCGATTACTCGACGACTTTCAATCCACCTTGAAATCCAGCCTGTTGGGCTTGGAGGTGGAGTTGCATATAGACCAAATTCACACTGAGCGGCAAATAATACAGAAGAGGGCAGAGAATAATCAGCCCCTGTGCCTTGCAATTGTGGACTATGAAAAAGCCTTTGACATTTGGATTCTTTGCAGCAAAATTGACTAAGATGTCTTTACAACACCAGTACGATGTCCATCCAAGTACAGTGCAGTCAAACAATATCAATCCAGTTGTATCGAGGACTGAGACAGAGGGATGTTATCCAAAAGTTAATTTGCCGGAGAATCAAGATTACTGACATAACCTTCCATGTTTGTAAACTGAGGTGGCAATGGGCAGGTAATGTCTGTCGCAGAAGTGACAACCGGTGGAGTACATTTGTTATGTAGTGGAGTCTGCGTTTAGACAAACGTACCGTGGGAGAGATCTATGTCTAGGAGTGATCTGCCGCAGGTTAATGATCTGTTATTTTAGGTAACTAAGGTTCAAATCCCGCACGGAACAAGTATTTATATGGGCTTACATTGATTATGTTAGTCCAGCAGTCAATTTTTGAGGGCTGATAAACAACAAAGGAAGAGGAAGTAGTGTAAAGACACTACTTCCACAGATAAATAAAAATTAAAAAATAAAACATTTATTTTTCTTTTTAACTCCAATAACAATAACATTTAAAAAAACTGGAAGTAGAAAATTGTCACCACCACACCGACACCACACACTCACGGTAAGGAAAATACTTCAAACGCAACTTCATTACTGTAAGCAAAATGCAACGTTCAATGCCCGGTACTAGCTTGGTGCGAGGAAGGTATTGAGGTTTCATACGGTTAATTCATAATCACATACTCGTATCTTAGTATGTAAAATAATTATTGCTATCTATTAGTGGGCTCACGACAATTTTTAGATAATTTTTATCTCTTAACTCTGCTTTTTTTTTTATCGGCGTTAAGTTTAATTAATAGCATAAATATTTTAATCATTTTTGACAAAGGTATTTGTGTAATCTATACATTTAAGAAAATTTAAGTCTGTCTGTAATATCGAAATAATTGCCTTTTATCGCGCTCAGGGAGTTATTAGAATGCCATCAAAGAGATTTAAATATATTATATGCTATATATATCTTGCATTGGGAACATTAGTACACATAAACTTTGAGCTCGCGCATTTGTGACGCCCTCTAGCTAAACATAGCAAAACTACCAATGTAACTGCTGTCTGAATTGATACTTAGTTATTGGAAATTAAATATTTTATTTCAGGACACTAGAATGACGAAAAACCTTTTTATGATTTTTTGGTGTAATGGGAGTTATAATAGATAGATTCGAACCGCTCTGCGCTGGATGCGGTCAAGTGGAAGGAGCTGGCACTGGGGTGCCCCGGTCCAGAGATGAGAACAGTATTCCATGTGAGACCGAACTTGCGCTTTGTAAAGTTACAAGCGATGTGCCGGCATGAAATACTCTCTCGCTCTGCTGAGCACGCCAAGCTTTTTAGAGGCCAATTGGGCTATCACTTCAAAGTGACCACGAAACTGCACACTATTCCATATGTCGACGCCGAAGATTCCAATGCTAGCTGAGGCTGCAAGGGGAGTGCCTTGAAACTAAAGAAATACGACAAAGGGGTTCTTTTTAGCGGTAGACGCGCAAACATGTGTCTTCTGGGGATTGAACTGGACTAGATTTAGTCGCCCCCAATCCGAGACTTTGTTCAGCAAAGGCTCGACTTCAGAAAAAAGTTTGTCCCGGTACTCGGGGACGTTTTTCCGAGAAATATTGGCACGGTCGGTATATAAAACATCACCAGTGCTGTCGTCTGCATAGCAATGAATGTTACCAGTTTGCAATATATCATTGATATGCAGAATAAACAGCGTTGGTAATAGCACGCAGCCTTGTGGAACACCAGCGTTAATAGGCTTGAAATCAGAGCATGCACCGTCTACTACGACCTTGATGCTCCGATCAGCAAGGAAACTGGTGATCCATTTGCACAATTTCTCGGGAAGCCCATAAGAAGGAAGCTTCGAAAGAAGTGCTTTCTGCCAGACCCAATCGAAGGCCTTCGCTATGTCCAAACTAACGGCCAATACCTCCCCTTTGGACTCTACTGCCTCCATCCATCTATGAGTCACGTAGACCAGAAGATCACCAGCTGATCAACCCCGATGTAAACCGTACTGGCGGTCACTAATCAGCTGGTGATCCTCAAGGTAACTCATGAGTGTATAATGGATTCCATTATTTTGGAGAACAAGGAGGTGATGGCGATAGGCCTGTAGTTGGACAGGTTTGAGCGGTCGCTTTTTTTAGGGATCGGGTGGACCAAAGTTGTTTTCCATGAATTCGGGACTACGCCTTGGGATTAGGAGTATCGGAAAAGATGCGTTAAAAACGGTACTAACTCCGGAGCACACGTCTTCAGCACAATGGGAGTGACTCGATCAGGCCCACTTGACTTGCTGACGTCCAGGGAGAAGAGTGCTTTGCGAAACGAGCGCTGTGTAAACCGCATATCCGGTATGGAGCACTCACACCGCGGGATGGTAGCCGGTGTGTTCCCCCCGTCATCTAGAGTCGAGTTGGACGCAAAGAGAGAGCTAAACAGGCTTTCTCTTTTGCGTCACGGGACAGTGAATCGTCCTTTCTGTGAAGAGATGGAAGAGATGGCTGACAGAAGTTCGCTTGGACAGCCTTTGCGAGAGACCAGAATGCACGGGTTTTCTAAGGAAGGCGAACTAGCTTCTCACAAATTCTGCCAATCTTGCCTTGGCAATGACGTTTCTGAAGGACCTGGAGGGGGAATTATACTTCTTTTTAAGAGCGCTGGGGTTTACGTCCAGAGACGTTGATGAGTCAGCCCAGGCCCGGTAACACTCCTGCTTATAGCGTGATGCTATTTTACAGGAGCCAAACCATAGCTGAGATTTGACTCCGATGTGCACCACAGAGAATGGAATAAAAAGTTTCATACCCTGAAGTACCAAATCAGTATCAGAATCGGCAACAGCGCTGGGACTGACTCCGTCGATACCCTTCTGGGAAGAGCTCAGAGGGGCATCGCCGGAGACCTGATATCCGTCCGGATGGGAGGTCTGCAGAAGGTCCAACAGGGAAGGTACATGATCCTCTACATCTGGAATGAATCATGGTAGCGGATTCTCCAGGGATGCTGGTTCCCTCCTGTGGTAGTCTTTGTTTAAATCCGCTAGCATGTTCATATGGGGAGGGGGGAGGGGGAGGGGGGAGGGGCGTTTTCTTTGGGCCTCCGGCCACCTGCACTCACCAAGCGCAACGCAGAGATTAACCTCAAGCTGCTGCGTGGCTCTACCACTGTTATTATTAGCGTCACCTTCTGGGAAATATGTGAAATGATTGCCCAATAATATATCCAATAGGACAAAAGTAATAAATGACATAAATCCGAAATATATCTTATAGGACAAAAGTAATAGGTAACCATTTTGTTGCTGATGTCCGGTCTATTACTACTACTTAGATGTCTATGCATACCATGAAGACGTGAACAGTCATTTGTAACATTTTTGTCTGTCTGTCTGTTCGGGCCAATCTTCAGAATGGTTGAAACTTTATCATCAGATGGACTACTCGTATGTCACTCTTATTCTATAAATTACAGAATAAATAAATAAAATAAATAAATTTCATTCGATAACTTTAACATTATTCAAAATTCATAAATACCAAGTGACACTTACTTGCAGTATTTTTGTTTTGTATTATATCTATTTCTAGATAACACATTATTAAAGTTGTTAGTCATAAGACAAAATAAATTCCCCGAAATGAGTAATACTTTAAGTTATGTGCTTTATCTGATAACCTTGTCATTAACTTAATATGTATTTTCAGTTATATAGTAAGTCTAATTTTTTCTTTACATCAACATAAATAACTTAACTTTTTGAAGGTGTTACTTCTTGTTCTGCCTAAAAGCAGTACTTTTACTGTACTATCTCCTATGAAGGCTATGGATTTTTTTATAATTGGCTTTACGGCTCTGAGTTCTAGCCCTTCTGAGCCTAAAGTTGCAATGTATAATTATCCTTCATAGTACACTGCTTCACAACATGTTGATGCGTCACATTGTGCAGCCCTCGGGAGGTTTTGAGTCCAACTTGACAGCTGACAGCTGACAGTTGGTGATGGTATCTCAAGGGGCCTAAGCAGACAGACACCTTATCTTGAGAATAACATCTACATCAGAGCACTTGTTTCACCATTACCCACTATTAGTTCACATGCGCAGACATTTAAAACACAAAATCGCACCACTTTTACATTTCATGGCGGCTGTACACGCTCGTCTCGTCGTCGCGCGTGCCTCTCGTCGCGTAGAGGTTCGACACGAGAGCACATCATGTACACACTCGTTGTATTACATGAACTCCGGATGCCCACTGCGATGGACGTAGAAGAAACAGTTGTTGTGTTTTGCCTTTGCTATTTTTATTATAATTTTTTACATATTTCCAATAAAAAGACAATTAATAAGCCATGGTGGATGGTTTCTTTTCACTGTAACAGAACCATGTAATTTCCATGTAAATTCCAACCAGATGGAAGCCCTCGGTAGGGGAGACCAAACGGCCGAGGGTTAGGGAGAAAGGGAAAGAAACCAGCGGACGATGCGGGCGGTATCAAGGAGCACCGCCTACTGCATTTGAGCCTGGAGCGGTCCGTCACGGAGTCCCAGTCGCCTGAGATGACCGGAGAGGCTGCCCGGGATTAGCCTGTTCGCAGAAACGACCACAAGAATAACTTCGGTCGGCAGACCACCCCACATGTCGGTCACCTCGTGAGCCAGGTCTACCGCCACCCATGAACAACCGCAACACCAGGGGAATTGCAGATGCGTTGCCGGCAAAATAATAAAAAATATAAAATAATGTTGGTCTTAATAACCTGATCCTGTATCGCACAGACAAAACCCTCGGTTTCCCCAAAGAGGTCCCCGAAACGTAGCCAGTGGAGGGAGGCAACTGTGTCTACGAAAGGCTCATGTAGAGCCTTGTAGAACCTCCCGTGGAGCTCCTTCTCCTTCCATACGGTCTTCTGGTCGGAAATTCTCTGTACTGACGGGTCTTGCCTTTGCTCGTTGGATAAGGATAGAGGTTTAAGTCCTTTATCACA